AACGAGCGAATGGTTTTAGCATCGCCGATAAAGGTAATTACAAATGTCTAAATACGAATGCAGATTTTAATGTTTGTTCTTTGAAGTATCTAAAGTGCAGCGTATATAAAGTGTAGTCTATCGCTAAAAATTAAACTATTTCATTGAATCCGATAAGTATAATAATATGTGACTTATTGTATACGTACTGCAATGTTGTTTATTTCTTCCATTTGGTGCACTGTTCTAATTAACGACAAATTTTCTAAATTTTATTTTAAGGTTGTTATAAGTATTTATAATTGTCGAAAAATTTAAGAAACACTTTCGCAATGCATAGTTGCATAAATAATTTTTAAAAATTAAATTATTAAACATAAAATGTATACCAATCATGCAAATATTCCAAATGTTAAGAGAAACATTAATCTTCAAAAATATGTGATTAAATATCTAATTTACAAGAAAAACTGTGTTCCTGTAACGTGCAGCTGTAACTCTGGCATCAAGTATAATTTAAATAATACTGTCTAATCCAGTCTGCCAGAATCCTTGGCGTTGTACCAATTGCAATCTACTATTAACAAAAATCGTATTTAATAATTAATTATGAGAGGCTCAATTATGAGTTGTCACGTACGTAGTTCGACTTCCACGAAATAACATGCTGACTTTTTTCCACATGGACGAATGAAATATCGAATGTGAAAACAAAACATATGGATACAATTCGTAAAAAAACTACGAATCATCTCGAGTAATGTCGAGAACGTTTATCCAATGATCTTCCAATATCTTCCATTAACTCATCCTGATGATCTGAACGAAGTTGCGTCCATATGGGCGCAAAAGAACATACATGCAAAGTTCGCATTACTTTTTTTGGAAATATTAATATACTATATATACACTTACAACTCATAACAACAATAGAAAGCTTATACACGGAAAACACCCACGGTACACGGAAAGTTATCAAATGCGTATTGAATCTATTACAGCATTGAAAAATCTGTTTATTTCAAGGAAAAAAGGCTATTTCGAAAAACATTTAAGAAGAAAGATGATGATCTGAACGAAGAATTGAAATCGCTAAAAAGTTATTCAACAGAATACCCAACCAAAATATTTAAAAAAAAATAAAAGTTTTGAAAGCACGATGTATTTTCGAAATATAAATCAGAGTAGATAAATATCGAAAGTACAACATTATTAATTAAATCGAAAATGACGGAGAATAGATGCAGCTACTTGTATGTAAAGAATAAGAGAATATCCTCTATCTGCTGCAGATGCACTTGAAACATTTTTACTTTTACCAATTAATATATTCATCCACCACAGATAGCACAGAATCCGTGTCGATTATGCTGTACATCATTTTGATCAGTGTGTGATATTAATTAGAATTTTAAAATAAATTATAACAGTTGTATTTATTAACATATCCATGCGAAATTTTCTGAGTAGTAACAGCAGAATTATTTTTAAACGCGTTGTTCCACTTTTCTATTCAGGTTTATTTAATTTTTTATATTTTACTGTCGTGATTTACATGCTATTAGATATTGACAATTCTTCTTAAACAATGTTTATTATCGAACAGATGATTATTTGATTCATGTTTTCTCATATTTTTGGACGCGTTCTCTTACTCTTTATAAGTTTTAGTACTAAGATGGGATAATTAATTTTTCGAAATCTTGCAGTTTTCATTTAGATAATAAAACTTTAGTATATGATTCTTTTCAGTCTTTCTTATTTTCAAACCTATGACGATTTCATTAATGTATATCGAATTATTAAAATACGCGCTGTTCATTTTATTATGTTTTAATCACTTGCGGCCATAATTAAATATTTCTTATAATCATATAATTTACTGCTATAACTTACATTTTGTCATGTTTTTTAATTTTTGCATTATTAAAATATATATAAACAATGTATTTTTGCCTGATTCTAAAGTATTAATAGTCGACGTTATGTTTTCGTAGACGACACTTTTTGTTATTATGTATATTAAACGGAAGAATATGTAAGTTGGTATGTTTTTATTTAAATTAATTTGCAGATAATGTACTATTTAAATATTGAAATAAAATATTTTTGGCTATCTTTATATCGTATTATAAATCGATAATTGATATTTTGTCATTTCTTATCATGACTTTTTCCCTGGAGAACCTTGTGTTTGTATAAATAATATATAATTAGGTCATTATACATTTACAACGTTTATTCAATTTTAATGACAAAATCCATATGTGCAATATATACATATATTTCGAAAGTTCCCGACAAAGAAACAATTTTCTACGCGTGCACGACAAATCTCAATAACTATTTTTGTTCAAAATACAGTCTTACTCATGATTTACGCTTACAATTCAGATAAGAGCAGGTACTGAAAATATTGTCGTATTTCGATGTTCTATGCGCGTTAAAATGTGCATCTTTCATTACCGACTATATATGCAACTATCGTTTTTATATTAATTATGAATTAAAACTGATATTGTATGATTAATTCTGACAAGCAATTTTAACGTAAGAACAATTTTAACGTAAGAACAATTTTTACAATCTCTCCTTTTGATAGAAGAGATATAATTATTGCTGGCTAATCATAAGACATTCAAATTTATAAACTGGCCCGGCTGCTGCGAAGTAACTCTCATGAAAACACACACATATATATAAACAGTATTTAATGTTTATTTGGGAATACGTCCCGATAGACATATATTAAATTTATACACAGTACAGACCAGTAAAGTTCGTATTAGTAAAATCAAAGGCGATTATACATACACGCTTTAACGTCGTTCCGTTAAAAAGAAACGAGATTAATAGGAATTACAAAATAAATTCTTGTCACGATTATCTTTTAACAATAAGTATCTGTGCACATTTCTGATTCAAAACAGCAAATCTAAACACATTCGAATAAATCTTCAAGTAAAAGAGGTAACAAGGAAAATCTAGAGTTAAACGAGTTATACGAACAAAAAATCAGCAGGTACGTACAAATAAGACACAGATTTATATATATATAAAAGAATGTAAGAATAGATAAATTATGTGGAATCTATATGTATTGCATATATTTTTTGCTATATTTAATATATATATATATTGTATATTTTTAAAATTTTTCCACAATTTTGATTAAAACAATAAAGTAAAAAGTACACTTTGTCTTAAATTTTATCAAGAAAATAATACATATAATGCGACAATATTCTGTTTAATATTTTATAATCTTTGAAAATTGACAATATCAAATATCGCTGAATAATTTGTTAAATAAAAATAGTAAATAGCTGATCAAGGAATAACCGTAAATTCTTCTAAAAATAATTTAAAAATTATTAGAAAGATATAAACAAACAAATAGGTCGAAAACATTATTATATCTTCGAGGTCTTAATTGTTTTGAAGTATATCTTGCATTATCATGTGTTAGTGACATATATATATATAAAGAATTTCTAGTGATATAAAAATCAGTAATTATAATATATTAGTGTATTAAAATTCACAAGATTAAGAATTTGATTTTCTCTACGCCTGTATTTGTTTGTTCATATAAATGAGTCTTTTAATAGATATATAATTTCAAATAATAAAGTACATGAGTAAAGATACATGATTATAAACGGTTTTTCGTCATTTTTTGCTTTTTGTTTATTTTTTATAATAAATAAATATTTGTTCTATTTCTTTTCTTTATAAATACAACAATTAAAAATTTCTTTTATTTCAAAAAGAGACTCAGATCGATAAACTGAAATTTTTATATTTAGAACGAAAATATTTTACATAATACATAATGTTTTCCATTAATTTTATGATTATTTATTATATTGTAAATAATACATTAAAAGATGCCGGTAGATAAAAACGTTATTCGACCACATTATTCAACAAAAGAAAAATTCCTTTAAGAATTTTAACTTTAGTATTTAGAGAAAGTAAAACATATATGTAGTTTACTACTTAAATACTTATTATAAATTATTAAAATTATGTTTTTTAAATTCTCAAACATGACTAGTTTGACGATTTATTTGTTTTTCTGTCCCGTTTTTAACTACATTAATATAAATATGTATTTCTAAATTAATCAAATTATTTAGTATTTTTATATGTTAACAAGCCATTACTAAGCTAACGTTCAAATGTAATTTGATATTGATTCATCACTAATTTCTACGTGATAACAATTATATTGTAAATTGGTCTTTTATTTATTTAACTAATTTTTACTTATAACATTCATCTGTGTCTGTTCTGATAACAAATGATTTTTGTATCACTATTTTTGTTTCTTTCTTTTTTCTACTAATATATGAATCTTAATTTTTAACTCAGTAATTGATATATAGAATCAAAAAGTTTACTTTTATATTTATATCATTTTGGCATTATTAAATTCCTCTTTTTCGATTACAATTATTTTATATTATTAATTATTTTGGCATTTTAATAGTCTTTTTTTTATAAGAAATAATGAAAGAGGAGGTGCGAGGTGCCGTTTTTAAAAGTTTACCTAGCAGCAAATTTTATATTTATTTCATCAAAACATTTTTTTTTTAATAAATAAGAAATACATTTTTTTACAATATAATTGTTTTTATAAAACATAAACACCTATATCTTTGAAAATTATTTCTATGTGTAATACGTATAACTATTATTCATAAAAATTTATTCTAAATGTATAATTGTATATGTGAAAAATTTATCAAATAACGAAAATAAACAGTAAATTTAATATTATGACAATATGAATGTTTGTCTTTGATAGCATATTATCTTATTTTATGTTCAATTTGTATAATATTTATTATTTAATAATAATTGATACAACGTCATACATTACATTGTTGTAATGAAGCTTTGCATTAAAAAGATTGTTCAATAATACATATATAATTGTATCTTACTTTTTTATTTTAGATTTCAGGTTAACCACGATTAAACAACTGAACATAATTGCTTAGAGTGTTGCAATATACTCGCCGGAAAGCACAGTAATCAAATAAATTTATAAATACTATTCTCAAAATAAATTTGTTGGTAAAAAAGAAAGTCACAAGCAGGACGAAGATGTGCAAGACGGAGGTGCCGATCCCTCCAGACAAATGGATTCCGATCCAACTGGACTGCCGAAAAATTATAAATGCCATTTCTGTGGAAAGACATTCTATTTTAAAGGCATTTTTGAAAATCATTTATTGTCCCACGGCATCAGACCGGAGCGTAAGAGAAAGTATTGTAATATATACATTATTGTATATTCTTGTTCTAATAATATGCAAATAACGGAAGATTTAATTACAACAACAATTCTATAAATAATTGAACAGCGCAACGATTATAAGAAGAGAACATGATTTTATTATAAAACATAAAACCGCCAGACATGTATTAGCATTGTAGAAAATTGACATGTTAGACAATACTAAAAATATGTATTCATTATTTTATATTAGTGCTAATTTATTTCTACTTTTATTTGTGTGTAGTTCCTTTGTATTATAAAACTTCTCAAGAAAAACAAAAAGTCAAAATAATGTCAATTTTACGTCATATTTACTAAAAATGACTTTTTATACTGACTTTCTTACCTGTTTAAGTTTTAGAAAATGTGACATATGTTTCTCGATTGTGTAGATACAATGCTTATTATTATGAAGATAATTAAAGATTAACGTTTTTCATATTCAGATATCATTGTAATTCGCAGAAAAGTTGAGTGATTGTACACAGAGAAAAAAATGTTGATTCAATTGAACGTCGACGTCACGGGCTGCCACAAAAATATGCCAGTTGATTCATCTGTATTATGTTAATTCAATGACATAATTAATCAAATCGAGATGTCATGCATTTGTTTATACTGCATACGTGTAAACAAAAATGTGTTTTTGGCAGCTTGTGACGTCGACGTTTATTGAATCAACAACATTTTTTTCTCAGTTTATTAAAAATTATATTATTAACTAAAATATTATTTTAAGCAGCTCACTTCTTAAAGTTGTATCTCAATTATTATTAATACGAAATAATAATTTCTTTAGATGATATGCCAGAGGAACGTTCCGACCCCTCCAGGCAAATGGCTTCCGGTTCAACTGGAGATAATATGCAAGGCGAAGGTGTCGGTTCTTCTAGACAAAGAGATTCCAATCCAACTGGACAGCCGGAAACGTATACATGCGATTTCTGTGCACAGACATTCGATTCTTCGGAAATCCTTTGCAATCATTTATATTACCACAGCTTAGAGAATCATCCTTGCTACGCTTGCGAATTGAAATTTATTTCTCACTCATTATTGCGTAAACATTACATTCGGGTACATTCGGACGGTTCTTTAAAGTGTGATAAATGCGGAAAATTTTTCGCGAAATTTGATTATTTTGTACGGCACAAAAAAAGATGTCATAATAATGGCAAGTATTTTTGTAATATATACATTATTATATATTCTTGTTCTAATAATATGCAAATGACGGAAGATATAATTACAACGACAATTTTTTAAATAATTGAACAGCGCATGATTATAAGAAGAGAACATGATTTTATTATAAAACATAAACGCTAGACATGTATTAGCATTGTATAAAATTGACATTTCAGACAATATTAAAAATATCTATTCATTCTTTTATATTAATGCTAAGTTTTCTTTACTTTTATTTGTGTGTAGTTCCTTTGTATTATAAAACTTTCCAAGAAGAACAAAATAATCAAAATAATGTCAATTTTACGTCATATTTACTAAAATGACTTTTTATACTGACTTTCTTACCTGTTTAAGTTTTAGAAAACGTGACATACGTTTCTCGATTGTGTCGATACAATGCTTATTATTATGAACATAATTAAAGATTAACGTTTTTCATATTCAGATATCATTGTAATTCGCAGAAGAGTTGAGTGATCGTACACAGAGAAAAAATGTTGTTGATTCAATTGAACGTCGACGTCACAAGCTGCCACAAACATATGCAGTTGATTTATGAATAATAATTTGTTAATTCAAGGACATAATTAATCAAATCAAGATGTCATGCTTTTGTTTATACTGCATATGTTTAAACAAAAATAAGTTTGTGGCAGCCCGTGACGGCCACGTTCAATTGTTACAATAACATTTTTTTCTTAGTGTATTAAAAATTATATTGTTGACTAAAATATTATTTTAAGCAGCTCACGTTTTAAAGTTGTATCTCAATTATCTTTAATACAAAATAATAATTTTTTTAGATAATGAGCAAGAGGAACGTCCCGGTCCCTCCAGACAAATGGCTTCCGGTTCAATTGGAGATAATATGCAAGGCGAAAGTGTCGGTCTCTCCAGACAAATGGATTTCGATCCAATTGAACAGCCGGACAAGTATGTATGCAATCTCTGGTTAAGACTATTCTGTTCTTTGGACGTGCTTTATAATCATTTAAAGGTCCACATGAATTATCTTTGCAACCATTGCGATCTATAATATTCATTTGTAAATCCCATTTCAATGCACATACGCGTTCGACACGTAATGTTAATCTTTTCAAGTGTGATATATGCAATTCAACTTTTTATGATCTCTTCGACTTTGAATGGCACAAAAAAAAACACCATAGTGTAGGCAAAGAATCCGTAACAACGAAGGAACAGAAGTTGAAACAAAATAAAAGGAGGCTCGAATTCGAATCTTTAAAAATGAAGGAACAGGAATTAAAGCGTATGAAAAAGAAGCTCGGATCCAAAATCTCTGACGCGGACTCGAAAGGTTTGTCTCAGCAACTTTAATTTTCTGTGTAAAATTGGCTACAAAATGAGTAGTTTTTGTAATATATACATTATTGTATATTCTTGTTCTAATAATATGCAAATGACGAAAGATTTAATTACAACGACAATTCTTTAAATAATTGAACAGCGCAACGATTATAAGAAGAGAACATGATTTTATTATAAAACATAAAACCGCTACATGTATTAGCATTGTAGAAAATTGACATGTGAGACAATACTAAAAATATGTATTCATTATTTTATATTAGTGCTAATTTATCACTACTTTTATTTGTGTGTAGTTCTTTTGTATTATAAAACTTCTCAAGAAAAACAAAAAAGTCAAAATAATGTCAATTTTACGTCATATTGACTAAAAATGACTTTTTATACTGACATTCTATCTGTATAATTTTTAAAAGATAATTAAAGGTTTCCATTTTCAATATTCAGATATCATTGTAGTTTGCAGAAGTGTTGAGTGATCGTACACACAGAAAAAAAATGTTGTTCATTCAATTGAACGTCGATGTCACGAGCTGCCATAAACATATGCAGTTGATTCATCAGTATTTTGTTAATTCAATGACAAAATTAATCAAATCAAGATTTCATGCTTTTGTTTATACTGCATATGTTTATAAAAAATCATATTTGTGGCAGCCCGTGACGGCCACGTTCAATTGTATCAACAACATTTTTTTCTCAGTCTATTAAAATAATATTGTTGACTAAAATATTATTTTAAGCAGCTCACTTCTTAAAGTTGTATCTCAATTTTTTTTAATACAAAATAATAATTTTTTTAGATGATAAGCAAGAGGAACGTCCCGGTCCCTCTACACAAATGGCTTCCGGTTCAACTGGAGATAATATGCAAGGCGAAGGTGTCGGTTCTTCTAGACAAAGAGATTCCAATCCAACTGGACAGCCGGAAACGTATAAATGCGATTTCTGTGCACAGACATTCGATTTTTGGGACATTTATTGCAATCATTTATATTACCACAGCTTAGAGAATCATCCTTACTACGTTTGCGAATTAAAATTTATTTCTTACTCAGAATTGCGTAAACATTACATTCGGGTACATTCGGACGGTCCTTTAAAGTGTGATAAATGCGGAAAATTTTTCGCGAAATTTGATTATTTTGTACGGCACAAAAAAAGATGTCATAATAATGGCAAGTATTTTTGTAATATATACATTATTATATATTCTTGTTCTAATAATATGCAAATGACGGAAGATATAATTACAACGACAATTTTTTAAATAATTGAACAGCGCATGATTATAAGAAGAGAACATGATTTTATTATAAAACATAAACGCTAGACATGTATTAGCATTGTATAAAATTGACATTTCAGACAATATTAAAAATATCTATTCATTCTTTTATATTAATGCTAAGTTTTCTTTACTTTTATTTGTGTGTAGTTCCTTTGTATTATAAAACTTTCCAAGAAGAACAAAATAATCAAAATAATGTCAATTTTACGTCATATTTACTAAAAATGACTTTTTATACTGACTTTCTTACCTGTTTAAGTTTTAGAAAACGTGACATACGTTTCTCGATTGTGTCGATACAATGCTTATTATTATGAACATAATTAAAGATTAACGTTTTTCATATTCAGATATCATTGTATTCGCAGAAGAGTTGAGTGATCGTACACAGAGAAAAAATGTTGTTGATTCAATTGAACGTCGACGTCACAAGCTGCCACAAACATATGCAGTTGATTTATGAATATTTTGTTAATTCAATGACATAATTAATCAAATCAAGATATCATGCTTTTGTTTATACTGCATATGTTTAAAAAAATAAGTTTGTGGCAGCCCGTGACGGCCACGTTCAATTGTTACAATAACATTTTTTTCTTAGTGTATTAAAAATTATATTGTTGACTAAAATATTATTTTAAGCAGCTCACGTTTTAAAGTTGTATCTCAATTTTTTTTAATACAAAATAATAATTTTTTTAGATGATAAGCAAGAGGAACGTCCCGGTCCCTCTACACAAATGGCTTCCGGTTCAACTGGAGATAATATGCAAGGCGAAGGTGTCGGTTCTTCCAGACAAAAGGATTCCGATCCAACTGGACAGCCGGAAACGGTCGAATGCAATATCTGTTTAAAAACTTTTCCGTCTGAGGACGTGCTTAAGAATCATTTAGAGTACCACAAAATTGCAAAGAATAAGTTTCCTTGCAAATTTTGCGGCTTAAGATTTATTTGTAATGGAGATTATAAAAATCATATTAATGACAAGACTGGTCCTTTGAAGTGTAATATTTGCGGGAAATCTCTTGAGAATCTTCACTACCTTAACAAGCACAAAAAGAAATTTCATTAACACAAAGAGGTAATAACAAAAAGTCACAAGTAGAACGAAAATGCATTATTTCCAAATCAGCAATGTGATGAAGGCACCAGACAAGATATTAATTCCCCACAACAAAAAAGTGACGAATTCCCCGGAACTTTTTGAACATCTTCTCCTGTTCCGACCCTCGAGATTCCGAATTCAAATGATAATTGAAAGAGGATTTATCTCAACATCTTGATTTTATACTGCACATTAGATTGAGGAAAACAAAATTGAAGACGTTGAACCTATTGAATCCAAGAATAATCAGCAACGCGATGAAAGCTCCAGACAGGATATTTATGTCGCACTACAAGAAGGTGACGAATCTTTCGGATCTGTTTCAGGCCTCTCGCAATACTCCTCTCCTTCCGATAAATATGAAGATCCCGAACTTTTAATAAAGAATATTTCAAGTCTCCAACCTTAAAATCGACGCGCAAAAGCCGCAAGCATTGACAAGTAGAATCAAGTTGGTCGAAGGCGAAGAAGTTCTATAGCAAAGTATACATTGTTAAAGCATTTTTCACAGCACCAATATGACAAGAAATTGAAATGTAAAATTGCAACACGGATTTCAGTAAGCTCGACAAATGGTACAGATACAAATGTCAAAACGAAGAAAATATCGCCAAGGAGGAGCCGTTTAAATTTTGATGCAACAAAAATTTCAAACATGAAGAAAATTTTGAAATTCACCTACTCGATTCTATCAAATCCGAGCCATATTTAAATGCAAGTGACCAGTTTGATTCGAATTGAATTCCGGATAATTTTAATTTTCTTCAATAAGTAAAAATCAAAAATTATTCTTCTACTAATGATTTAATGTAATCGCATAATGCAACTTGAGAAATATATGGATGTAGATAAACAAACATATATATATATATATATATATATATATATATTTAAAATTTATATTTATATATAAATTTATATTTATTTATATATAAATATAACTATATATGTCTACAATTTTTACTTTTCAATACTTAAAATCGTCCTTTTTATTTTTGAATGTATCTCATTAACGTCTATCCTGCAATTTAAATATGATTTGTTTAAATATATATCTATATATATTTGAATAACATACTTTAAATATAGGATATCGTTAATGATGAGATTATGAAGATAATGAAAGATAACGTTTTTCATATTCAGATATCATTGTAATTCGCAGAAGAGTTGTATTAAAAATTAAATTGTTGACTAAAATGTTATTTTAAGCGGCTCACTTCTTAAAGTTGCATCTCAATTATTTTTAATACAAAATAATAATTTTTTATCATTGTGAACATCAAAACATTATCAATATTTTATTCAATTTGATGTCATTTTGACGAACTAAAATTTGACAATATTTTGACATAAATTTGACATCATTTTGACATTTCTGTTTTCCTTGGGTTACTCAAATCCAGGACATACGATATTTCAGTGCGCAAATTATGTCATTAATAGATAATAAAATAATAATTATAGTTATTAAATATATGTATCAATTTTGATATTTCAGTGCGCTTTATTCATTAATAGATAATAAAATAATAATTATAGTTATTAAATATATGTATCAATAACAAATTTTGATATTTCAGTGCGCAAATTATGTCTTTATTCATTAATAGATAATAACATAATAATTATAGTTATTAAATATATGTATCAATAACAAAAACAATCCAATTTTTGAGTAACATATTTACAAATGTTTATACATATTTATTAAATAATTAAAGATAATTCTCTAAACTAAATTGACTTTATCATTTTATTAATTTGTACCATGTTATCTCCTCTCTGAATGCGTTTCTTAGTTGTGCATCGTAATCAATTCAGCTTTCAGCAGTAAAAAAGATTGTAGTTAAATTTTGTTAAAATATATGAATTTTGAATTAATTAATTAATACATATAATAAACTTGAAATAAATCTAAGAAAATCGGAATAGGCACGGAAAATCTTTCACGTATGTACGTTTACAGTCAAAGTAAGAATCATTTATATGCGTATATAATAAATAAAAATTATTTATGTTCAAAATATCGCTGCATGACTTCCACACACGATTCAGGTAAAAGCGTTACTGGAATAATCATTTTAATGCTCCACACGTTAAGTCGAGCAATCAGTATGGTACCATTTAAAGAAACAACGACGCGAATGTTTTTAGCATCGCTGATCAAGGTAATTACAATGTCTAAATACGAATGCAGATTTTAATGTTTGTTCTTTGAAATATCTAAGCAGTGTATTGTAGCCGAATTCCGACCGCTCAAGTAAGTGAGATCTACGTCTACGTTGACCTATTCAAGGGTGATTGTGATCACGGAATTGTGACTAATTGTTAGAATGATGTATAGAATATTTTTTTTCGAAATAATTCGTATTTTGCTTTTTATTTTATCCTATCGTTATGAAATTTTGAATTTTTATTTTACGATAAAACTGATAATAAATGACGGAACCAAAAATACAGAAAAAAGAGAAAAGATGAAATATAACGAAAATAGTGTATTGAATTAAATGTTGCAGACTAATTATTTTGGTAACAATAAGTATTCTAGAGATGTATATAATTTTTTATTAGATACATAGCAAGCATCGCATGTGTTACAACATGTAAACAGTGATAAGAAACAATAATTATTATTATTAACGCAGGCTCATGATTTCTTTTTGTTAACAACTTTGTGTAACAAATTTCTGTTCACATGCATATTTCCAAAAGTCTAGCATAATCGGAAAGAAAATAATTATGAATTGATAAGCAATCGTTACAAATCATCGCTGTTAAAAGAAAGCATAGTCGTATAATTCTAATACATGTTGCAAATTCTCTTAAAATTGTCTTCAAAATAAATTATTGTTTAAATATAATGGATTTTCAGGTATAAAACACACGTCTACATCATTGTGTTCTTACACGCACATTTTTTTCGTATAATAATAATAACGTTTTATTATATAATAATATATACTACAGAGATGCTATATCTATTATTCGTATTAAACTCTCTTGCCATACCAAATAGTTAATTACATCTCGTATAAAAACTATGGTAATATCTTACGAATATATATAACGTAATATAATAGAGTTTGGCTCTTATCGATGTTTATTATTCTTTTTTAATGTACGTTATGTCGTACAACCGTAAATCTAGTTGCAAAAAGTATATCATAAATTTACAAAAGTATCATAGTTAAATATTACGATGACAATTAAAATATTGAGTTAGAATTTTCAATTTTATGAAAAATAAATAAATCATGAATTAATGAAGAATATATGCATGTTACAAAATTCACAAAATCTTGCAAATTACAAATTAAAATATCTCTCTGTCATCTTATTTATCTTCGCGAAATAAAGAAGATGCTCTCTTCACCTCTCTAATTTCGCCATAAAAATAGATAAGTAAAAAGAGTTTTTTTTACAAAAATATCAACAAGTTTATACAATTTTATAAATCAGCATTATTTAAAAAATTTTCTAAATTCCTTTTTTCTATTTTTTTCCTATTTTCCGTTCCTCATTCCGCGTCATCTTCATTTTCTTTCCGTCAGTTCTTACATTTATCTCTATACACGATACATAAATATTAGTGTATATATTTTTTATATACATCTTCTCGAATACTGCATGAAACGTGACAAATCCTTGTTTAAAATTAATATTTGTTTATTTAACAAATTACCTATACGCAACTTCAATTTGTTTTTTCCCAAGTAGTAACAAACTGACATTAAACGTCAAAACGTACATTTGCTATCTGGGTCTCTCTCTTTCTCTTTTGCAGCTTTTAATGACGGCAGTAGGACTGCGAATCAGACTAGAAATTCTCATTGAATCAGAAAAATTGTTGCTTCTCTCATTATTTCCGCGTTTAACAAATATATTTACGCTTAGAGCGTAAGAAGTAGTTAATAAATTCTTTTTTAAGGCCCTCAGTCACTGTCCTCCGCGTTTCGCGGAACACGAGTCAGCGGTCGCCGACTATCCTCGTCCGAACCGTATATAACTTCCTCCTCTGAGTCGTTAAACATCGAGAACGCAGGATTATCTTTCGTTATCGATGAATCTGCAATAAAGAAATTTGTCAGTCATATATTTATATAATAACTTCATATAATTATAATATATATAATTAAAAAATATATAATATAATTTATAATATAATTTATCATATTGTTTAAATATTTTTTATTATATATTTATTATATTTAAATAATATATTTAATAAATTAAATATATTCATATTTCTTTATAACTAATTTTAAGTCGATATTTTATAATTAGAGTTAAAAAGAAGGAACGAGAATATGAAATAATGCAATATATAATTTTCATAAAAATATCGATGATTTACAGAAAAAATTGGTTTCGAGTAAAACAATATATCTATACAAAATTCTCCAATTTTTTCAGGTTCGTTCTCCAACATTTTTTGATGAATTATATTATTATATTTTTACTTTTTCTCTTTTTATCCAGCTTTGTCATAATTATTAGGCAAAATAAGTGTTAGATTCTCTGTTTTCTTCAAGATACTCACGTTGTCCGTAGACCTGCTGGAGTGCGGGCGCGTAAACGTACGCCATGGTGTACAGATAAAAATTAAGGAGACCGTAAAGGGCCATGAATTGCGCGGATGTGCGATAATAAGTCGAAAGGCGAGAGGCAAAACTGTCTTCTAAAACTCCGGCTCCAAATTGACGAGCCGTGACCAAACTGCAGACGCCGGCGACAACCGCAGCAAGTAGTGTCAAGAACCGCAGACGAAGATCTGTGAAATGTAAAAATAATTGCCTTGTTAAATTTCACAATAATGTCAGAATAAAATTTCAGAATTTTTTTGCCTCAAAAAATTAATTTATTCAATTTATTAGGGTATAAATTATATGCACAATTATTGTTATATTTGTTATAACGTGATTGTGTAATATTTCATGTTATAACATTTCGAAATTATAATTTCAGAATAGATGTGCATGTGCATTTTTAAGTATATATATAAATTGTATAACAAAAAATTTGAAAAAATAGTGTATAATAATTTGCATTAATATTTTTAGAATATATTATCCCATGCATATAAATATAATAAATAAACGTTTTCATTTTAGCGAATAAATATGTACAGCAGGAAAAATGAACAAATAATATATAATTAATATAAAATAAATATTGTAAATTCCTAAAATAAAAATATATATGTGTAAATAATTATACATTTTTAATAAGCATTATAAAAAAATATAAAAAATGTAATACACTGTATTACACTTTTACTGCAGTCTTATAGCGTTAAAAAGACAAACTTACCAAAGTATGGCATAGATCGTAGTTCGCTATACGCCTTCAAAATAAGAAGCAACAGATATGCAATGTAGAAGCCACCGACTGTGAAGAAGAATACCTTGAAGCCCTGAAAAACGAAAAACGTATTAAAAACGAAAGAACAGACATAAATATATAATATATATTTTTGTTACAAGTGATCACATCTTTTTGCTACTCTTCATCGATAGACCAGTTTCGATCTCTTCGACCGCTTTCGATGCGATGCCAAATAAAGATCGAGAACTAGTAATCTTGAAGTATCAGAGACTAGCCGATGGAAAAATATTTACAGTCTTTACTCGTGACTCAATACAAGAAGAGATCAGAAAGAGTTGGAAACAATAGGTGATTTGCAACGCTATACGTGAATATGAAACAATTCGGTAAATATTTCTTCATCATTCTTGAGAGCTTAACGATGCAATTAAATAAGAATATACTTTTATCATTTTTTTATGTATAATATTATATTTTTTATCAGTTAATAGTAATAAATTTTGGTCACAATTGGAGGAAATGAAAGAATGGATGAAAGAGAAAGAAGAAAATAAATGGACGATTTTGGGAGGAGATTTCAGATTTGAGGAGGAGGAAGAAGAAAGAAGATCGAAGGACAAGAAAGTTAATGAGGAAGGGAAGAAGTTGATAAAAGAGTTGGAAGAGGTTGGATGGGGAATTTTTAACGGAGGGATAAGAGGGGTTAGGAAGGGGGAGTACACATATACAGGAGGAAGAGGAGAATCGGTGATAGATTACGTGGTGGGAGAGGATAGAGTAAAGGAAAGGATAAAGAGAATGGAGGTGGGAGATAACATAGAATCGGACCATCACCCATTGATTGTAACGCTAGAAAGAAGAGGAGGAGCTGAAAAGGGAAATAGAGTGGGGAGAGGGATGGAAGGAGGGGATTGAAGAGGAGCTAGAGGAAAAAATAGGAAGAATAGAAGAGGAATTGTGAGAAGGAGAAAAAGAGAGTGGAGAAGGGAAAAGGAAAGAGTGGTGGGACGAGGAATGTGAGGAGAAGAGGAAGAAGTGAGGAAAAAGTTAAGGGAATGGAGGAAAAAAGGAGGAGGAGGAGAAGGATATAGAAAAGTAAGGGCGGAATATAGGCTAATGTGTAAAGGAAAAAGGGAGGAGGAGAGGCTAAGATGGTACAAGGAGGCGATAGAGGCAAGAACGGAAGGAGAGGTATGGAAGATTATAAACAGGGAAAGGAAAAAGAGAGAAGGGGTGAACGAGGAGATAAAGGCGGAGGAATGGAAGGAATACTTCATGGACTTATTGGGAGGGATAGAGGTAAAAGTGGTAAGAGGAGGAAAAGAAAAAAGGGAGAGGGATGAGGAGCAGGAGATAAGCAGGGAGGAAGTGAAGAGGATGCTGGGAAAACTGAAGAAAGGAAAAGCAGCGGGGGAGGATGGGATACCGAGTGAGGTATGGAAATATGGAGGGGAGAGGGTAGAAGAGTGGGTATGGGAAATGTGCAACAGAGTATGGAGAGGAGAAGGATGGCCGGAGAGGTGGAAAGAAGGGATAATAGTGCCACTGTTGAAAAAGGGAACGGGGAATAAAGTGGAAAACTATAGAGGAGTGACATTGATGCCAACGCTATACAAGATATACGTGGGGATTTTAACTGAAAGGTTAAAGGAAGAAATGGAGGGGAAGAGTATGATACCGGAGAGTCAGACAGGTTTTAGGAAGGGAATGGGGGTGATGGATAGTATCTATGTGTTGAACTATCTGGTGAATAAGAGGGTAAACAAGAAGGGAGGAAAGGTAGTCGCGGCATTTATGGACCTGAAGGCGGCGTTTGATTCGGTAGATAGGGAGGTGTTAATGGAGGCAATGAAGAGGAGGGAGGGATTAAGGAGTAGGATAGAAGAGGTGTACAGGGAAACGAGGAGTAAGGTAAGAGTGGGAAAGGAGGAGGGAGAAAACTTTTGGTCGGCAAGGGGGGTGAGGCAAGGTTGCCCAATGAGCCCGCACTTATTCAGTTTGCTGATAGCGGATATAGAGGAAATGCTAAGAAAAGGAGGTTGGGGGGGAGTGAAACTGGGAGGGGAAAAGGTGCATTGTTTGGCGTACGCAGATGACATGGTACTGTTGGCGGAGGATGAGAAAGGGATGATACATATGTTGGGGAAAATGGAAAGTTATATGGACAAGAAAAGGTTAGAGGTGAATGTGGATAAGACAAAGGTAATGAGGTTTAAAAAGGGAGGAGGAAGAATGAAGAGAGTGGAGTGGAGATGGAAAGGAAAAGGGTTAGAGGAAGTGAAAGAATTCACATATTTAGGGTATAAGCTACAGAGGAACGGGGGGCAGGAGGCGCAGGTAAAGAACAGAGTTAGGAAAGCAGGAGCGGTGATAAGACAGGTGTGGGGAATGGGAAAGAGAAGGTTTGCAGGAGACTGGATGAAAAGAGTATGGCTAATGGAAAGGTTGGTGGGGACGGTGTTGGAATATGGGGCGGAAATATGGGGATGGAAGGAGAGAGAGAGGTGGAGGCAATGCAGGAGCGATGGATTAGGTGGACGTTAGGAGTAGACTGGTGCACGCCGGGGTATATGGTAAGAGAGGAGATAGGAAAAGACAAATTTAGGATAAGGACAGGAAGGAGGGCGGTAGGGTATGAGAGGAAGTTGGAGGAAGGAAGGGGAGGAAGTTTAGCGAGGAAATGTTTTGAGGATATGAAAGAGAGGATAAGAGGAGGAAAGGAAAGAACGATGTGGGAGGAAGAGAGGGAGAAATTCTGGGAAGAAAGAGGAATAGAAGGGAAAGAGATGGAGGAAAAAAGGGGAAAGGGAGAGGAAGTATATGAGGGATGGGAACAGAAAGACAGGGAAAGGCAAAAGGAGGAAAGATGGGAGAGGATAAGAGAGTCGAGATATAATAGATGGTATGGGGAATGGAAGGAGGAGGGTTTACCGGAATACCTGAGAAAGGGATGGGGGGAAAGTAGATGGAGAAGGATAGTAAGGTTCAGAATGAACAATGAGATGAGAGGGGCGAGATACTGGGAAGAAGAGAGGAAAAGAAGATGTAGGTTATGCGGGATAGAAGATGAAACATGGGAGCATGTGATAGGAGAATGTGGGGGAGAAGGGGAGAAGGGAAACTGGTGGGAAAGAATGAAGGGAATATTGCAGGAAGGAGGAGAAGGGGAAGGATGGATGAGAGAAATAGAGAAAAAGAGGGAAGAGGGGGAACGGAAGAAAAGGGGGAGGGAGGGGAAAAGGAGGAAGGAAGTATGAGGAGGAGAATGAGTGAGGTATGAATGAGGTGGTGGAGAATGTATGGGGAACCGGAAGCCGAAGCGAAGCGATAGGTAGGGACGGCTCTTTCTCTCTCTAAAGTAGTAGATAAGTAGGTTAAGGTAGAATTAAGTTATTTGTAAATTAGATGTAAGAGTAGAGATAAGAGTAGATATAAGTATGATTGTAAGAGTTTTGTAAGGTTGGGGAACGCTCCTTCAAAAGCGCCTTCAATCCCTTAGGGGACGAATAAAGAATTGAATTGAATAAAGAAAGTAATGGAAAAAAGATATACGTGTTAGATACATTTAAAATAAGATTAAAAACAAATGTAGCACAAAATGCAATTTAAAAATCAGATATAAGAATTATAGACGATATAAAGAAATTAAGGACATAATAAAAAGAATAAAAATTAATTTGAAAATTATTTTGAAAAATAATAAATTATGAAACAAAAAAACAACAGTTATTATATATGAAAAAATGAAGAAACAACAATTTGTTTTAACAAAAGCAATTTTTATGGTAAAAGTAACGAAAGTAAATCAATAGTCGCAGATCTAAGAAAACAGCAGAATTGTATAAAAAAAAACACAATATGAAATAATATCAAAAGAAGCCAAATATTAAGGGACATTCTATAAAACTTGTATTATAATAAATTATTTAAGATTTATATAATTTTATTTATTTATTTTATATTCTGTATTGTCTTACTCACGTGCTATTTGTATATGAGCGAACGTTTTTCCAAAATATTTCTTCGGTAAAGGCGTATTGCATCATGCGCAGTATAAAGGGTCCTACAATATACATCAAAATTATATATAATTTAGATATATTCTAAATATATATTTATTATAACGGCTATATGTGAACATAATGATATTAAAGAGAAAATTTATTTATTTTTAATTTTTTATTTATTTTAAAGTAAATTTTATGTTAATTTTTACGAAGATAGCAAAATATTAAAAGAGCATTATATGTATACGTATATATATATATATATATATATTCGTATATGTAAACACCTTAAATTAATTATAGAATGTACATAAATATGCGCGTGTGTGTGTGTGTGTACTCTAATAACATTATTTTTGTAATAAAATCTAGATGAAGAATTAATTATCTTATAATTTTAAACGTATTTTTATAATATTAATAGTTCAAAATTTACGCGGATTATTTTATTATATTACGTTATATACCTCTGATGGATTCGCGAATTTTCAATAAACTGTCATCTTCTGAAGTAGAATTCCACATACGATAATCACCATCCAAATAAAAAGAAGTATGTTGATTTTGAACAACAAATAAATTTATTATTCGATTATCTGGATAAATCTGTAAAACAAAAATTATTAATATATCGATATAACCGCTCTGAAAATACTTGCATTAGAAATAAATACTAATATCATTAGCGGTTCTTCTATGTTAAAAAAGAACACTTTCTTTTTTTTATTTTGAAATACACATACGAATAAATATAATAATAAAATCTAAAATATTTAAAAATATCAGATAAAGTGGTGGTGTTCAAAAAAAACTTTTTTTATACTTTACATTGTTCACATTATATTTATATGAATGTAAATATTTAAGAAATTATTTTTAAAAAACAGTTCAATATTGTATACATATGTATTATTGCTAAATGTTTTTAAAATAATTTAGCCAAAATTTATGCATTTTAGAAATTGGGATTTTGAGAATGCATTTTGAGAAAGTGGGAGCGTGATAGCGTTGAAAATATTTAGAATAACCTCATTGACAGCATACGTTGCAAGCAATGTAGTAAGAGCTTTTTCAAACCAACAAGCCGATCGAAACGGATTAGTCAGATTATAAAACCATTGCTGTGTCACTTTATATCCTACTAATTGAGCTACTTCGATTTTGTGAGCATCAGGATATAAATTTTCATTGTAGATGATATTGTTTTCGCTGAAAGTTATATTTAAATGTCAAACCTGAGAACGTTTACAGAAACCAAAACTTTATTTTTGTTACTATTTTTTAATTTTATTGTTAGATGTAAGATTTACAAATTCATGGTACAATTTAGTAAATCAGTAGTATTGTAAATCGTACCAAATAATATTTAAAAAATTTTTAATTTAAGTATGAAACAATGATTTTGCGTTAATGCATATATTATTGATGAAGAACTATAGTTTTAAATGAATAAAAAAATGTCACTTCTTTTATTATTATTTCAACACATACTTTAGGCGATACGATATGGCATAAAAACTTTTCCCTTTATATATGTATATTAAAACAATAAATTTCAACTTTTTGAATTATAATACAAATAAACTTAATTCTTACTACTTAAAATTGTTTGTTTTTACAATTGCTTAAACTTTCGCACGTTTATAGAAACAGAAAATATACATGTTTTTAAATTTTTTAATTCTGCATACTAATATAATATTATTTTTAATGTAAAGCACTTGTACTCACTTATACAGAACAAGTCCGAAAACTATTATGCCATTATCAGGGAAATTTGGAATTGCAACATGAGTTATCTTCGAAATATTGTTCGAACGTTGTTTCCATTTATTTTTATAGAACAACGTGATATTTTCAGCTACATCCTTTGCAAATTCCATGTGAAATACAATTTCGTTTCGGCACCACATTTGAATATTTTGAGTATTATTATCAACACGTAATAAGTAATTGGATATAATTATTGTTGCAAGATACGGCGACATTGCGGGTGTGGTATCAAAGTGTGTCCACAACATATTGTGCTTATTTTTTTCTGTATTTTGCAATGGCATATTTGACAAAGCCGTGCATCGATTACATCCTATAGATATGTTAAAGGTTCCTTCTAACAATAAATTTTGTTGACCCCAACATGAAGACAATTGTCGAGCGCCTATTATATGGAAATGAGTAACACCTACGAAACTATATATTTGAAAGAACATAAATTAATGAAACATTTTTAGCAAGCATAAAAATATTGGGATTTAAAAATAGTATAAATGTAATATATAATAATATGTACTAAACATAAAGAATAATCGTCTTTATATTTAAATTTTATAATATATATAATAATTTTTTAAATATTTAATACATAAATAATATATATTAATTATAAGGTTTTATGTAATTGCATACTGTATTTTTCTAATAAATATATATATATATATATATTATTTACTTACGCAAGTTTTTTTTCACGTTGAAAATTCTAAAAACTTCATCAGCAATGCCATGATATTTTATATTTAAAAGGTAATTTCCTGGTGATAACTCATGCGAAAACCGAATAATAATTTTTTCTTCTGTAATATTGTGTGTCCATTCATAAACTGCATCTTTATAATATTTTTTTACATATATAGATATAACTAGATTTTTAATATATAAATTTTCTGAATGTAAAAATATGTCTTTCGTTTTGTTAAGAATGCTTATGCTGATATTGTATTCTCCATAGAAAATATTTCCTTCAATATATGATATAAGCTTGATATCGTAATGGATTGGTTTTATATATTTTGATGGTTGATAGCATAAAGATGATTCATGAAGAACGAAAGTCGTCTCAGCGATAAACATTAGTCCGCTACTTAATAATAGTTTTAGAAATATCATGTCGGAAAAAGAATATTTACTTTAGATCTGTAATGCACACTGTAAACAAAAGATAAATAAAGAAATTAAATATAGTTTTTATATTTTTTCGAAATAGTTAGGAACGACTCTTTCTCTCTCTTAATTAGTTAGATAGATAGATAGATTAAGTTAGAATTAAGGTAATTGTAAATTAAATGTAAGAGTAGATTTAAGAGTAGTTGTAAGTTAAAATTGTAAGAAGTGTGTAAGGTTCGGGTACGCTCCTTAAAAGCGTCTTTAATCCCTAAGAGGACAAATAAAGTAATAAATGAAAGCTATAATCTTTATCAATTTTGTTTACCTAATCTTTTTAATTGAGATAGTTTTTTATATATTCTCACCATCAATGTATATGTAACATTATTATTTTTGATTATAAAAGTAAAAATTAAATTTTAATAATTTTTAACTTAAATATTTGAAACGTTTCAACTGTAATGGAATATCTTATTAAATTAATATGAATTATGCGTTTCTAATATTAACATGCGTTATGAATGTTTTATATAAAATATTTAATGTAAAAAATTTTACGTAAAATTAGTAGTATTATGTCTACTTCTAATTTATATGACTAATATAATTATACTTATTTTTAAATGTTGTCTTTATATTTATTTCTCACTCAACATAATTATATATATATATATATATATATATAACAACGAGTGAAACAATCATAAGGAACAAATAACGAAAGGCAAAGTATCAAAACAAACAAATTATAACAACGGACAGTTTAATCGATATAGGCATAGATGACCGGAGAATCGATAATTTGTCACTCAGCGAACTCGCTGAAGAAGGACAAATAGAATTATATTGCAAGTCATTTATATAATATTTTAAATGCAGAATTAAAGTGAACGATAATATAACGTCTCTAAATTTATTACAACATTTCAGCTAATAAAACTAATAATTCGCCAAACAACATACAATTCGTAAAATATTATACGATCAATATTATTTTAAATTTATCTCTGGATTAAAATTTACAAATAATTTTAAATAAAACTATTCTCTTCATTCTTATACATATGTTGGAAATTCTATAAAATTCCGTCCTACCGTATAATTAAATTTTTTGCATTTGTAGACACATGTTTTATATGTATGAAAGTTCTTCTGACTTACCGAATATTTCGAAACAGAATGTTAATTGGAAAATTATATATCGTTTTAAAAATGAACTACAGCAAATAATGCTTTAGAAGTATTCAATGTTGGAAGAATATAATATATTCACACACTTTATTAAAAGTATTATATCTTCACCACCACGTGGTTCGAAAGACCACGAAAGACTGACTGATTCTCTGTACGTGTCTTCATGATAAATATAATGTGTTTGGTCAACAAAATTTCTGAGGTCGTTATATGTATATATATTTCCATATATATTTGTGTGTGTGGCGACATTTTTGAGTAATTGTTGTTTTAATTGAGCACATTTAAATTTTGCCCAATTAATCAAATAAATAGGCGTTATTTATACACATTTATATGACTTATTTCAAAAAAGATATTTGCGAAAAATGTTGTATAATTTTTCGTCATATACTCATCCCTTGATAATTTTATTTTAATAATTAAATTAGTATAAATATGTCATTATTTAAAATAAATGTATGTAGTTGCACATTGCTATAAATTGCAATTTTTTAAATCACTGGAATGTTTTTCTTATATTAATCAATTTGTTATATATTCATCTTTCGATAATTTTTTGTCAGAATAAAACATAAAACGTTTAAAAAAATTATGATAACTATAAAATCTCAAAAATGCATCTATTTGAAATAAGACCATATACTTACGACGCAACGCTCCTTTCAAATTCTGTAAATATTGTATAAAGTATATTTTTCGACACACATATATATAATATATGTAACTAATAATAAATTTTTATAATATTAAATAATAATTTGATATATATAAAAGAAAACGGATATTATAAGAATTATTGACGATATGAAGAAATAAAGAAAATAATAAAAAGAATAAAAATTAATTGAAAAATTATTTTAAAAAATAGTAAATTATTAAACAAAAATATAAAACAACAATTTATTTCAACAAAAGCGGTTTTCATAGTAAAAGTAATGAAAGTAAGAGTAAATTTATAGTTGCAGATCTAGGAAAATAGCGGAATTGTAAAACTAAAAAAAAACACTATGAAATAATATCAAAAGAAGCGAAATAATAAGGGATATTATATAAATTTGTATAAATTTGTATTATTATAAATTATTTATGATTTATATAATTTCATTTTTTTATATTAGATTCTGTATTGTCTTACTCACGTGTTATTTGTATATGAGAAGCGAACGTTTTTTCAAAATATTTCTTCTGTAAAGACATGTTGCATCATGCGCAGTATAAAGGGTCCTACAATTTACATCAAAATTATATATAAATTAGATATATTCTAAATATATATTTATTATAACGGTTATATGTAAACATAGTGTGATATTAAAAAGAAAATTTATTTATTTTTAATTTTTTATTTATTTTAAAAGTAAATTTTTCGTTAATTTTTACGAAGATAGCAAAATATTAAAGAACCATACAATTAATATCCTCTACACATATGCGCGATTATTACCGGACTCTTTGTATATATACATATATACATATATATATATATATATATATATATATATATATATACATATATATGTATTTATGTTTTTCAATGTTACATATATTGTAATTAACAGCAATATAACAAAATTAAATTGACAAAAAATTATCTCGTCAAAAAATTATATTCATTTAAAATCTACAAAATTTTAAAAATAAGTTATTAGAGTATAAAAATTTATAAAACATAAAATTTGGTTGTCTGAAGTAAATTACATTTATAAAGACCCGTTATTTTTACATTAAAGCCTGTGTATTTATTCAAAATAAGAAGAAGAAGACAGTAAGGATAAAAAAGACTGAGCAGCGATGACAGAGAGAAAGAGAGAAAAGAGAGAGAGAGAGAGAGAGAAAAAGCACATGTTTATTATCACATGTAAATTGTATGAATTATAAACCTGATAATAAATATTATATACATATATATACAATGATTCCTAGAACTATATTATGGATTTTTTTATTAGATTGACAATTAGAATGTTCTTGTATTTTGCTCTATAATTTATAATTAATATATAATTTTTAACTACATTTACTCAACTCCTTATCATAATTTTATTTTGTTATTTTTATCAATGCTTTTTTTTACCAAATCCTTCTAATTGAGATAGTTTTTTATATATTCTCGCCATCAATGTGTGGTACATGTAACATTATTATTTTTTATTATAAAAGTAAAAATTAAATTTTAATCATTTTTAACTTAAATATTTGAAAATTTTCAACTATAATAGAATACCTTATTAAATTGATATGAATTATTGTTTATGCGTTTTTAATATTAACATACGTTTTGAATGTTTTATACAGGGTGTCCGGTGACTCGCGTTTAACACATTAATGAGAGATTTCTGAGGCAATTATCACCGGACACCCGGTATAAAATATTTAATGTAAAAAATTTTACGTAAAATTATTAGTATTATGTCTATTTCGAACTTATATGACTAATATAATTCTACTTTTTTTAAGTGTTACATTTATATTTATTTCTCACTTAACAAAATTAATTTTTTTAAACTTTTATAATACCTCTTATAAGAGGATATTTTGAATACAATTGTCTTATATTTTTATTTTTCTTAATTATATATATACCTATATATATATATATATATAATCTTCATCAACAAAAATTAATATTTGATACTTATTTCTTGAGCTAATACTCAATATCAACACAACTTCAAAAGCATTTGAAATAATAAAATATACACAGATACTTTTTTATAAAAAGTAAAATGTACGACAAATTTTAGAAAACAAAATTTTAATAATCTAGTAATGAAAGGACAATTAAAAGTGCCTATTATAATATTTATTCTCTGTTATGTAAATTGTATTATTTTTAAGTTTAAAAAATAATTTATTCGATATCGAACTTTTATGGATCCAAGATTATCTCAACATTACAATTCGTAAAATACAATATTATATTATCGATCTTATTTAAAATTATCTCTGGATTAAAATTTAAAGATAATTTTGAATAAAATTATTCTCTTTATACTTATATGTTGATAAATTCTTTAAAATTTCGTTATATACTGTATGATTAAATTTTTTTTGTATTTGTGGACAAATACACATATTTTTTATATGTTTAACATGTTCTGACTTACCTTATATTTCAGAACAGTATGTTAACTGCAAAAGTATATTGTTAAAAATTAACTGCAACAAATTAATACTAGCAGCACGCAATGTTGAAAGAATATAATATATTCACACACACTTTATTAAAAGTATTATATCTACCACGACGTGATTCGAAAGACCACGGAAGACTGACTGATTCTCTGTAGGTGTCATCATGATAAATATGATGTGTAGGTCAACAAAACAAGGATGAACAAAACGAATGTAGTATACAGACTAGAATGTAATGATTGTGACGCGTCGTATATAGGACAAACAAAAAGACATTTGATTACTAGAGTAAAAGAACATCAGAATACAATGATAACTTGCTAAATATTACGAGGCCATGTGAAACGAGCAATAAAAAATTATTTTAAACTTGGAAAAATTTTAATTTAAAAAAACCAATTACAATACAAACTCTAATATTCTTAATTACAAACGTTTCGAACTATACTTAGTCTTCTTTAGTGCGCAATAAAACAATAATAATAAAAATTCTAATAAAAAGTCGCAATACAATAGTCAAAATAAATTAGATAATTATGTCAAAATTAAAAGGCGAAATACGTTAACAATAAATTGAAATAATTAAAAATAGTTCAACACGAAAAGTCCCAGTTAGAAGCAAAAATCGAATTAAAATAATTCATCCGGTTATATATATATAATCCATAAATATTTTAAAATTATTAAAATCTCGGAGTGGCACTTAAACATTCGTCCAAACCAATCACTCATCGTTAGTCGACGAAAGGCTATCAGTCTGGCAATGATCGTGTCCATCTCCTCCAAGTTATTTAATATTTGTTATTATAAACTGAATTTAAAAAGAAATTTTATATTATAAAATAGAAATCCACTTATGTATATGTAAAAATTAAAAATTAAAAATTAGTTACTTGTTGCTTACAATTGTTCCGAATAAATTGAGATGACAATGCCTCTGATTGTTGTTGAACTTAGTACTTGACTGATGTCAAGTCAGTTAACATCAGAATAATATAAAAAGACATGAAACAAGCCACTCGGTGGTCAGCAAACATAGAACCGAATACAATCATGACTTCCGATGGCTTGAGCCATGTATTTTACATACCGAGAAAAATAGACGAAAAAGAGAGATCGCTGAAATGTTCTACATAAAAAGACAAACAAATAAAATTGAAACATAGGGTCGAAACATAGTGTGTACTCATTTTCAATAAATGAATAGTCAGTTTTTGGTCGAATTAAATTGCATCTTATTATTTGTTAACATTTTTATTATTTATTTCAAAAAACATTTTCACAATAAATATTGTGTAATTTCTTGTCATATACTCATCTTTCGATAATTTTATCTTAATAATTTTCTGCACTAAATAGTAATATAATTCAATTAGTATAAACAAGTCATTATTTAAGAAAAATGTATGTAGTTGCATATTGCTATAAATTGCAGTTTTTTTAAATCACTGGAGTGTTTTTCTTATACCAATCAAGTTATCCACATTATTTTGTGCAGAAATTTATTAAGATAAAATAATATCGAAAAGTAAATTTCAAGATGTTTCATATTTTTATCAGAATAGAACATAAAACGTTTAAAAAAATTATGATAACTATAAAATCTCAAAAATGCCTCCATCTGAAATAAGACCATATACTAAAATCGTAAATATTATAATCGATTACTTATTAATCGCGATATGTATTATTTTTTTCTATCCATTTTTTTCTAATTTTAAAATTTCAATATTTTGATTATTTATTATCATCTACTCTATGTGCAAAATTATATAAAGATTTATAACTGATAAAATTAGTATCTCCATATAACATTGCTTTAAAAAGATAATACAATATATTTTTGAAGATCTGTTTTACATTTTTTTAATTATATATGTACTAAATAATCAAACTGTGAGAATAAAGATATAGATCTACAATAAAGAATACAATTTTGAATATAAATCGTGACTTTCCGATGAATTATCGCGAAATGTCAAACCATATGTGTCAACAATTGTTGCGAAATTATATAACGAATTTCTTTGAAAAATTGAAATATTCTATAATTGATAATAATTATATAATAATTATTATAATTTTATCTTTTGTACATATATTATATTATACATATAAGAGGTCTCTAAAAATTTTATACAAACTCTCTGAAGAAGCAATAATATTTTATTGTATTTAAATAAAATATTTATCTCAATACTCATCCTTTATAATAAAAATCATTTAATTAAAACTAATAGAATACCCAACCGAATAGTTCTGAAAAAGAATAAAAATTTTTGAAGAACCGCACAATGTATTATCGAAATATAAGACAGAGTAAATAAATATCGAAAGTACAACATGTTTAATTAACTCGAACATAACGGAGAACACATGCAGCTATTCTTTTGTAAGTAAAGAATGAGAGAATATTTTCTCTATTTATAGTATAATCTGCTTATTCACCACAATACTCACATTGGCGCGCAATCTTATAGGTACAACTGTTCTGTTTGATAAGAACTTTCGATCAGCATCCGCAATAAATGCAGAATGATCACGACGGCGTCAGGAATTTAGTTGGCGATGTGAGCAGCCACCACTTTCTTTAAAGAGTATCAACGAAAAAAGACATCTGCAAAAGATCCTACACGTGCAAATCCTTCAATCGACAAGAGTTTCTGCATATACATTGGTTCTATAATGTTCAAGTTTTGTCGCAACATTGCGACCTGTCCGGCCGAGGTTTCCGCAAGAAGATGACAAGCATGTGTCCTAGCATTCCACCCGGAAGCCTGTGATAGCTTTAAGAAGCGTTCCACAGCAAAAGTTGCATTATTCATCATCTCGTGCACAATAATCAACGGTTGCATATTTGTTCAATTAAGAGTGTCAGATGCACTTAAATAGTTTCTACTATTACCAATTAATATATTCGTCCACCACAGATAGCACAGAATCCATTTCGATTATGCTGTAACATTATTTTGATCAGTGTGTGATATTAATTAGAATTGTGAAATAAATAATAACAGTTGTATTTATTCACATATTTATGCGAATTTTTTGACTAGTAAAAGCATAATTATTTTTAAACGCGTTGTCCCATTTTCTAATCAAGTTTATCTAATTATTTAGATTTTACTGTCGTGATTTACATGTCATTAGATATTGACACTTCTTTTTAAACAATGTTTATTATCGAACAGATGATTATTTGATTCATGTTCTTCCATATTTTTGGACGCGTTCTCTTATTCTTTATAAGTTTTAGTACCAAAAAAAGATAATTAATTTTTGAAATTTTGAAGTTTTCATTTAGATAATAAAACTTTAGTATATGATTCTTTTCAGTCGTTCTTATTTTCAAACCTATGACGATTTCATTAATGTATATTGAATTATTTAAATACGCGCTGTTCATTTTATTATGTCTTAATCACTTGCGGCCATAATTAAATATTTCTTGTAATCATATAATTTACTGCTATAACTAACATTTTGTCATGTTTTTTGCAATTTTTTGCACTATTAAAATATATATAAACAATGTATTTTTGCCTGATTCTAAAGTATTAAAAGTCGACGCTATGTTTTCGTAGACGACACTCCTAGTTATTATATTAAACGAAAAAATTTGAAAGTTGGAATGTTTTGATGTAAAATTAATCTGCAGATAATGTACTATCTAAATATTAAAATAAAATATATTTGACTACTTTTATATCGTATTATAAATCGATAATTGATATTTTGTCATTTCTTATCATGATCTTTTCTCTAAAATACCTTGTGTTTGTATAAATAACAAATAATTTGTTCATTATATATTTACAACGTTTGTTCAATTTCTATAAAAAAATCCATATGTGCAATATATACATATATTTCGAAAGTTTCCGACAAAGAAACAATTTTCTACGCGTGCACGACAAATCTCAATAATTATTTTTGTTCAAAATACAGTCTTACTCATGATTTACGCTTACAATTCAGATAAGAGCAGGGACTGAAAATATTGTCGTATTTCGATGTTCTATGCGCGTTAAAATGTGCATCTTTCATTAGCGACTATATATGCAACTATCGTTTTTATATTAATTATGAATTAAAACTGATATTGTATTATTAATTCTGACAAGCAATTTCAACGTAAGAACAATTTTTACAATCTCTCCTTCTGATAAAAGAGATATAATTATTGCTGGCTAATCATAAAACATTCAAATTTATAAACTGGCCCGGCTGCTGCGAAGTAACTCTCATGAAAACACACACATATATATAAACAGTATTTAATGTTTATTTGGGAATACGTCCCGATAAGACATATATTAAATTTATACACAGTACAGACCAGTAAAGTTCGTATTAGTAAAATCAAAGGCGATTATACATACACGCTTTAACGTCGTTCCGTTGAAAAGAAACGAAATTAATAGGAATTACAAAATAAATTCTTGTCACGATTATCTTTTAACAATAAGTATCTGTGCACATTTCTGATTCAAAACAGCAAAATCTAAACACATTTTAATAAAATCTTCAAGTGAAAGAGGTAACAAGAAAATCTAGAGTTAAGCGAGTTATACGAACAAAAAATCAGCAGGTACGTACAAATAAGACACAGATTAAAAAGAATCCTGTGAGAAAAGATAAATTATGCAGAAATTATCTGTATTACATATATTTTTTGCTATATTTAATATATATATATATATATATATATATATATAGTAATATTTTTAAAATTTTTCCACAATTTTGATTAAAACAATAAAGTAAAAAGTACACTTTGTCTTAAATTTTATCAAGAAAATAATACATATAATGCGACAATATTCTGTTTAATATTTTATAATCTTTGAAAATTGACAATATCAAATATCGCTGAATAATTTGTTAAATGAAAATAGTAAATAACTAATCAAGGAATAACCGTAAATTATTCAAAAAATAATTTAAAAATTATTAGAAAAATATAAACAAACAAATAGGTCGAACACATTATTATATCTTCGAGGTCTTAATTGTTTTGAAGTATATCTTGCATTGTCATGTGTTAGTGACATAAATATATATATAAAGAATTTCTAGTGATATAAAAATCAGTAATTATAATATATTAGTGTATTAAAATTCACAAAATTAAGAATTTGATTTTCTCTACGCCTGTATTTGTTTGTTCATATAAATGAGTCTTTTAATAGATATATAATTTCAAATAATAAAGTACATGAGTAAAGATACATGATTATAAACGGTTTTTTGTCATTTCTTGCTTTTTGTTTATTTTTTATAATAAATAAATATTTGTTCTATTTCTTTTCTTTATAAATACAACAATTAAAAATTTCTTTTATTTCAAAAAGAGACTCAGATCGATAAACTGAAATTTTTATATTTAGAACGAAAATATTTTACATAATACATAATGTTTTCCATTAATTTTATGATTATTTATTATATTGTAAATAATACATTAAAAGATTTTATTTATTTAACTATTTTTACTTATAACATTCATCTGTGTCTGTTCTGATAACAAATGATTTTTGTATCACTATTTTTGTTTCTTTCTTTTTTCTACTAATATATGAATCTTAATTTTTAACTCAGCAATTGATATATAAAATCAAAAAGTTTACTTTTATATTTATATCATTTTGGCATTATTAAATTCCTCTTTCTCGATTACAATTATTTAATATTATTAATTATTTTGGCATTTTAATAGTCTTTTTTTATAAGAAATAATGAAAAAGGAGGTGCGAGGTGCCGTTTTTAAAAGTTTACCTAGCAGCAAATTTTATATTCATTTCATCAAAACATTTTTTTTTTTAATAAATAAGAAATACATTTTTTTACAATATAATTGTTTTTATAAAACATAAACACCTATATCTTTGAAAATTATTTCTATGTGTAATACGTATAACTATTATTCATAAAAATTTATTCTAAATGTATAATTGTATATGTGAAAAATTTATCAAATAACGAAAATAAACAGTAAATTTAATATTATGACAATATGAATGTTTGTCTTTGATAGCATATCATCTTATTTTATGTTCAATTTGTATAATATTTATTATTTAATAATAATTGATACAACGTCATACATTACATTGTTGTAATGAAGCTTTGCATTAAAAAGATTGTTCAATAATACATATATAATTGTATCTTACTTTTAATTTTAGATTTCAGGTTAACCACGATTAAACAACTGACCATAATTGCTCTAGAGTGTTGCAATATACTCGCCGGAAAGCACAGTAATCAAATAAATTTATAAATACTATTCTCAAAATAAATTTGTTGGTAAAAAAGAAAGTCACAAGCAGGACGAAGATATGCAAGACGGAGGTGCCGGTCCCTCCAGACAAATGGATTCCGATCCAACTGGACTGCCGAAAACGTATAAATGCAATCTCTGTGCACAGACATTCCATTCTTGGAACATTTATTGCAATCATTTATATTACCACAGCCTAGAGAATCATCCTTGCTACGTTTGCAAATTAAAATTTATTTCTAAGTCACATTTGCGTAAACATTGGAATTCGGTACATCCGGATGCTCCTATAAAGTGTGAAAAATGCGAAAAATTTTTCGCACATTTTAAGTCCCTTGCATGGCACGAAAAAAGATTTCATAATAATGACAAGGAAGATTCTAAAACGAAACAGAAAAGTAAGAGGATGAAATGCGACAATTCTGACGCGGACTCAAAAGGTTTGTTTCGGCAACTTTAATTTTTAGCGTAAAATTAGCTAGAAAATGAGTTGTTTTTGTAATATATAAATTATTATATATTCTTGTTCTAATAATATGCAAATGACGGAAGATTTAATTACAACGACAATTCTTTAAATAATTGAACAGCGCAGCGATTATAAGAAGAGAACATGATTTTATTATAAAACATAAAACCGCTAGACATGTATTAGCATTGTATAAAATTGACATTTGAGACAATATTAAAAATATCTATTCATTCTTTTATATTAATGCTAAGTTTTCTTTACTCTTATTTGTGTGTAGTTTCTTTGTATTATAAAACTTTCCAAGAAGAACGAAATAATCAAAATAATGTCAATTTTACGTCATATTGACTAAGAATGACTTTTTATACTAACATTTTACCTGTTTAATTTTTAAAAGATAATTAAAGGTTACCGTTTTTCATATTCAGATATTATTGTAGTTCGCAGAAAAGTTGAGTGATCGTACACAGAGAAAAAATGTTGTTGATTCAATTGAACGTCGACGTCACGGGCTGTTACAAGCATATGCAGTTGATTTATCAGTATTTTGTTAATTCAATGACATAATTAATCAAGTCAAGATGTCATGTTTTTGTTTATACTGTATATATTTAAACAAAAATAAGTTTGTGGCAGCACGTGACGTCGACGTTCAATTGTATCAACATTTCTTTCTTAGTGTATTAAAAATTATATTGTAGACTAAAATATTATTTTAAGCAGCTCACTTTTTAAAATTGTATCTCAATTATTTTAATACAAAATAATAATTTTTTTAGATGATAAGCAAGAGGAACGTCCTGGTCCCTCCAGACAAATGGCTTCCGGTTCAACTAGAGATAATATTTTTATTAGCACACCACATCCGAAAAACATTCAGAGATTATCCAGAGAATATCCAGAAAACATTCAATCATCCTCAGCATCTTCTCTAAACGTCTTCGGGATACGTGCACTGTTACGGACGCCAGACGAAAGTGTCGGTTCCTCCAGACAAATGGCTTCCGGTTCAACTGGAGATAATATGCAAGGTGAAAGTGTCGGCCCTTCCAGACAAATGGATTCCGATCCAACTGAACAGCCGGACAAGTATGTATGCAATCTCTAATTAAGACTATTCTGTCCTTTGGACGTGCTTCATAATCATTTATAGGTCCACATGAATTATCCTTGCAACCATTGCGACCTATAATAATCATTTGTAAATCCTATTTCAATGCACATACGCGTTCGACACGTAATGTTAATCGTTTTAAATGTGATATATGCAATTCAACTTTTTATGATCTTTTCGACTTTGAATGGCACAAAAAAAACACCATAGTGTAAGCAAAGAATCTTCAAAAAAGAAGAAACAGGAATACGACTTGTTAAGCCGTAAGAGAATGAAGTGCGAATTCTTAAAAAAAAAGGAACAGAAGTTGAAGCGTAAGAAAAGGAAGCTCGAAGACTCTGACGCGGACTCGAAAGGTTTGTCTTAACAACTTTAATTTTCTGTGTAAAATTGGCTACAAAATGAGTGGCTTTTGTAGTATATACATTATTATATATTTTTGTTCTAATAATATGTAAATGACGGAACATTTAATTACAACGACAATTCTTTAAATAATTGAACAGCGCAGCGATTATAGGAAGAAAACATGATTTTATTATAAAACATAAAACCGCTAGACATGTATTAACATTGTAGAAAATTGACATGTTAGACAATACTAAAAATATGTATTTATTCTTTTATATTAATACTAACTTTTTTTTACTTTTATTTGTGTGTAGTTTCTCTGTATTATAAAACTTCCCAAGAAAAACAAAAAAATCAAAATAATGTCAATTTTACATCATATTGACTAAGAATGACTTTTTATACTAACATTTTACCTGTTTAATTTTTAGAAGATAATTAAAGGTTACCGTTTTTCATATTCAGATATCATTGTAGTTCGCAGAAGTGTTGAGTGATCGTACACAGAGAAAAAATGTTGTTGATTCAATTGAACGTCGACGTCACGGGCTGTTACAAGCATATGCAGTTGATTTATCAGTATTTTGTTAATTCAATGACATAATTAATCAAGTCAAGATGTCATGTTTTTGTTTATACTGTATATATTTAAACAAAAATAAGTTTGTGGCAGCACGTGACGTCGACGTTCAATTGTATCAACATTTCTTTCTTAGTGTATTAAAAATTATATTGTAGACTAAAATATTATTTTAAGCAGCTCACTTTTTAAAATTGTATCTCAATTATTTTTAATACAAAATAATAATTTTTTTAGATGATAAGCAAGAGGAACGTCCTGGTCCCTCCAGACAAATGGCTTCCGGTTCAACTAGAGATAATATTTTTATTAGCACACCACATCCGAAAAACATTCAGAGATTATCCAGAGAATATCCAGAAAACATTCAATCATCCTCAGCATCTTCTCTAAACGTCTTCGGGATACGTGCACTGTTACGGACGCCAGACGAAAGTGTCGGTTCCTCCAGACAAATGGCTTCCGGTTCAACTGGAGATAATATGCAAGGTGAAAGTGTCGGCCCTTCCAGACAAATGGATTCCGATCCAACTGAACAGCCGGACAAGTATGTATGCAATCTCTAATTAAGACTATTCTGTCCTTTGGACGTGCTTCATAATCATTTATAGGTCCACATGAATTATCCTTGCAACCATTGCGACCTATAATAATCATTTGTAAATCCTATTTCAATGCACATACGCGTTCGACACGTAATGTTAATCGTTTTAAATGTGATATATGCAATTCAACTTTTTATGATCTTTTCGACTTTGAATGGCACAAAAAAAACACCATAGTGTAAGCAAAGAATCTTCAAAAAAGAAGAAACAGGAATACGACTTGTTAAGCCGTAAGAGAATGAAGTGCGAATTCTTAAAAAAAAGGAACAGAAGTTGAAGCGTAAGAAAAGGAAGCTCGAAGACTCTGACGCGGACTCGAAAGGTTTGTCTTAACAACTTTAATTTTCTGTGTAAAATTGGCTACAAAATGAGTGGCTTTTGTAGTATATACATTATTATATATTTTTGTTCTAATAATATGTAAATGACGGAACATTTAATTACAACGACAATTCTTTAAATAATTGAACAGCGCAGCGATTATAGGAAGAAAACATGATTTTATTATAAAACATAAAACCGCTAGACATGTATTAACATTGTAGAAAATTGACATGTTAGACAATACTAAAAATATGTATTTATTCTTTTATATTAATACTAACTTTTTTTTACTTTTATTTGTGTGTAGTTTCTCTGTATTATAAAACTTCCCAAGAAAAACAAAAAAATCAAAATAATGTCAATTTTACATCATATTGACTAAGAATGACTTTTTATACTAACATTTTACCTGTTTAATTTTTAGAAGATAATTAAAGGTTACCGTTTTTCATATTCAGATATCATTGTAGTTCGCAGAAGTGTTGAGTGATCGTACACAGAGAAAAAATGTTGTTGATTCAATTGAACGTCGACGTCACGGGCTGTTACAAGCATATGCAGTTGATTTATCAGTATTTTGTTAATTCAATGACATAATTAATCAAGTCAAGATGTCATGTTTTTGTTTATACTGTATATATTTAAACAAAAATAAGTTTGTGGCAGCACGTGACGTCGACGTTCAATTGTATCAACATTTCTTTCTTAGTGTATTAAAAATTATATTGTAGACTAAAATATTATTTTAAGCAGCTCACTTTTTAAAATTGTATCTCAATTATTTTTAATACAAAATAATAATTTTTTTAGATGATAAGCAAGAGGAACGTCCTGGTCCCTCCAGACAAATGGCTTCCGGTTCAACTAGAGATAATATTTTTATTAGCACACCACATCCGAAAAACATTCAGAGATTATCCAGAGAATATCCAGAAAACATTCAATCATCCTCAGCATCTTCTCTAAACGTCTTCGGGATACGTGCACTGTTACGGACGCCAGACGAAAGTGTCGGTTCCTCCAGACAAATGGCTTCCGGTTCAACTGGAGATAATATGCAAGGCGAAAGTGTCGGTCCTTCCAGACAAATGGATTCCGATCCAACTGAACAGCCGGACAAGTATGTATGCAATCTCTAATTAAGACTATTCTGTCCTTTGGACGTGCTTCATAATCATTTATAGGTCCACATGAATTATCCTTGCAACCATTGCGACCTATAATAATCATTTGTAAATCCTATTTCAATGCACATACGCGTTCGACACGTAATGTTAATCGTTTTAAATGTGATATATGCAATTCAACTTTTTATGATCTTTTCGACTTTGAATGGCACAAAAAAAACACCATAGTGTAAGCAAAGAATCTTCAAAAAAGAAGAAACAGGAATACGACTTGTTAAGCCGTAAGAGAATGAAGTGCGAATTCTTAAAAAAAAAGGAACAGAAGTTGAAGCGTAAGAAAAGGAAGCTCGAAGACTCTGACGCGGACTCGAAAGGTTTGTCTTAGCAACTTTAATTTTCTGTGTAAAATTGGCTACAAAATGAGTGGCTTTTGTAATATATACATTATTATATATTTTTGTTCTAATAATATGAAAATGACGGAACATTTAATTACAACGACAATTCTTTAAATAATTGAACAGCGCAGCGATTATAGGAAGAGAACATGATTTTATTATAAAACATAAAACCGCTATAGACATGTATTAGCATTGTAGAAAATTGACATGTTAGACAATACGAAAAATATGTATTTATTCTTTTATATTAATACTAACTTTTTTTTACTTTTATTTGTGTGTAGTTTCTCTGTATTATAAAACTTCCCAAGAAAAACAAAAAAATCAAAATAATGTCAATTTTACATCATATTGACTAAGAATGACTTTTTATACTAACATTTTACCTGTTTAATTTTTAGAAGATAATTAAAGGTTACCGTTTTTCATATTCAGATAACATTGTAGTTCGCAGAAGAGTTGAGTGATCGTACACAGAGAAAAAATGTTGTTGATTCAGTTGAACGTCGACGTCACGAGCTGCCACAAGCATATTCAGTTGATTTATCAGTATTTTGTTAATTCAATGACATAATTAATCAAATCAAGATGTCATGCTTTTGTTTATACTACATATGTTTAAACAAAAATAAGTTTGTGGCAGCCCGTGACGTCGACGTTCAATTGTATCAACATTTTTTTCTCAGTGTATTGAAAATTATATTGTTGACTAAAATATTATTTTAAGCAGCTCACTTCTTAAAATTGTATCTCATTTATTTTTAATACAAAATAATAATTTTTTTAGATGATAAACAAGAGGAACTTCCCGGTCCCTCCAGACAAATGGCTTCCGGTTCAACTGGAGATAATATGCAAGGCGAAGGTGTCAGTCCCTTTAGACAAATGGATTCCGATCTAACTGGACAACCGGACAAGTATGTATGCCATCTCAGGTTAAGACTATTCTGTTCTTTGGACGTGCTTCATAATCATTTAGAGGTCCACAAATTTAATCAGAATTATCCTTGCTACAATTGCAACCTAACATTCATTTGTAAATCCCTTTTCAGTGCACATACGCGTTCGTCGCACACTGTTGGTCGATGGAAATGTGATTTTTGCACGAAATCTTTTGCGGATTTACGCTTGCTTTCACAGCACGAAGAGAAAGAGCATAAGAAAGAAAAGGAAATGCGAGACGGAGATGCCGGTCCTTCCAGACAGATGGATTCCGGTTCTAAATGATAATTGAAAGAGAAAAGGAACGTAACAATGTGATAATTGAAGGAGAAGAGGAACGTAACAATGTGATAATTAAAAAAGAAGAGGAACTCGATCCTGCCTGGCCGTGACGAAGACTTATCTCAACATCTTGATTTTATACTGGACTGCACACCAGAGTGAGAAGAACAAAATTGAAGACGTTGAACCTATTGAACAATCCAAGGTTAATCAGCAGCGCGATGACAGCTTCAGACAGGATATTTATGTAGCACAACAAAAAGGCGACGAATCTTTTGGATCTGTTTCGGGCCTCTGGCAATTCTCCTCTTTATCCGATATAAATATGAAGATTTCGAACTTCTAATAAAGAATATTTCAAGTCTCTAATCTTAAAATTGACGCGCAAAAGCCGCAAGCATTGACAAGTAGAATCGAGTTGGTCGAAGGCGAAGAAGTTCAACAGCAAAGTATACATCGCTAAAGCATTTTGCACAGCACCAATATGACAGGAAATTGAAATGTAAAATTGCGACACGGATTTCAGCTCGACCAACAGTACAGATACAAATGTCAAAACAAAGAAAATATCGCCAAAGTATAGAGCCGTTTCAATTTTGGTGCAACACAAATTTCAAACATGATAAAAATTTCGAAATTCACTTACTCGATTCTATCAAATCCAAGCCATATTTAAATGTAAAAGACCAGTTTGATTTGAAATGAATTCCGATTAATTTAAATCTTCTTCAATAAGTAAAAATCAAAAATTATTCTTCTACTAATAATTTAATGTAATCGCATAATGCAACTTCAAAAATATATGGATGTAGATAAACAAACATATATATATATATATATATATATATATATATATATTTAAAATTTATATTTATATATAAATTTATATTTATTTATATATAAATATAACTATATATATCTACAATTTTTATTTTTCAATACTTAAAATCGTCCTTTTTATTTTTGAATGTATCTCATTAACGTCTATCCTGTAATTTAAATATGATTTGTTTAAATATATATCTATACATATTTAAATAACATACTTTAAATATAGGATATCGTAAATTATGAAATACATAAAGATGATAATTTTAAATATAGAAACGTAAAAATATACAGTAAAATTTTGTCACATAGAAAATTTTGCTCGCTCATAAATCAACATTAATAACATTATTAACTTGTTTTCTCTGTTTTAGATAAAGATAATCTTTAATAATATTAAGTTATTATAATGTAATTATTATATTATTAATCATTATTTTGTTGTTGTATCAATAATTAATCTGTTAATTAGTAATTATTGATTTATAATTTATGCAATATTAATGATTATTATAAATTAAATTACACTATCGTTTATGTATATAAAATTGGTATTATTAACAATTATAAATCGTATTAATTAGACAATTGTACGTACAGATACATGTGCAGACGTACACATACATACCCAGTTAGCCACAGTAATTAGTATGACATCATTTTGATGTCATAATAATTACTGTGACTTACTGAATATGTACAAACGTACACATACGACATAATTATAATTATTACTTTCTGACAACCAATAATTAAACAATTTAATTATTAACATTATAAATTTAATAATTATAATTTACGAGTATAATTCTCGCATAGAAGAAATTTTTAATTTATATTTCATATTATCCGTTAAACTTTAATTTTCTATGTAAAATTGGTTACTAAATGAGTAATTTTTGTAATATACATTATTATTTGGTTGTAATATTTTTGTTCTAATAATATGCAAATGACGGAAGATTTAATTACAACGACAATTCTTTCAATAATTGAACAGCGCAGCTATTATAAAAAAGAACGTAATTTTATTATTTTAATATAAAAATGAAACCGCTAGACATGTATTAGCGTTGCAAAAAATTGACATTTTAGGTAATACTAAAAATATGTATTCATTCTTTTATATTAATGCTAAGTTTTTTCACTTTTTTGTGTGTACCTGTAGTTTCTTTGTATTATAAAACTTCCCAAGAAGAACAGAAAAGTCAAAATAATGTCAATTTGATGTCATATTGATTAAATTTATGTCATTTTTTGGTCATGGAAATCTCGATTTGGAAGATGACTAAGAAATGACTTTTAATATTGACTTCTATTACCTGTTTGATTTTTAAAAAATGTGACTAACGTTTCTCCTCTGTCTATATACAATGCTTATTATTATGAAGATAATTAAAGATAATGTTTTTCATATTCACATATCATTGTAATTCGCAGAAGAATTGAGTTATTGTATTAAAAATTAAATTGTTGACTAAAATGTTATTTTAATCGGCTCACTTCTTAAAGTTGCATCTCAATTATTTTTAATACAAACTAATAATTTTTTATTATTGTGAACATCAAAATATCATCAAAATTTTATACAATTTGATGTCATTTTGACAAACTAGAATTTGACAATATTTTGACATGAATTTGACATCATTTTGACATTTCTGTTCTTCTCGGGTTACCATGACATGCGTTATTTCAGTGCGCAAATTATGTTTTTATTCATTAATAAATAATAAAATAATAATTATAGTCATTAAATATATGTATCAATAACAAATATACAAAAAACAATCCAATTTTTGAGTAACATATTTGTAAATGTTTATACATATTTATTAAATGGTTAGAGATACTTCTCTAAACCAAATTGACTTTATCATTTTATTAATTTGTACCGTGTTATCTCCTCTCTAAATGCGTTTCTCAGTTGTGCATCGTAATCAATTAAGCTTTTAGCAGTATAAATGATCGTAGTTTAATTTTTGTTGGAAATACGATATGAATTTTGATTTAATTAATTGATACATAAAATAAACTTTCGAAATAAATCTAGGAAAAGCGGAATAGGCACAGAAAAACTTCCACGTATGTACGTTTACGGTCAAAATAAGATTCATTTATATGCGTATATAATAAATAATAATAATTTATGTTCAAAATATCGCTGCATGACTTCCACACACGATTCAAGTAAGAGCGTTACTGGAATAATCATTTTGATGCTCTACACGTTAAGTCGAGCATCTTTTCTATATCAATCAGTATGGTACCATTTGAAGAAACAACGACGCGAATGTTTTTAGCATCGCCGATAAAGGTAATTACAATGTCTAAATACGAATGCAGATTTTAATGTTTGTTCTTTGAAGTATCTAAAGTGCAGCGTATATAAAGTGTTAGTCTATAGCTAAAAATTAAACTATTTCATTGAATCCGATAAGTATAATTAATATGTGAATATTGTATACGTACTGCAATGTTGTTTTATTTCTTCCATTTGGTGCACTGTTCTAATTAACGACAAAATTTTCTAAATTTTATTTTTAAGGCTGTTTATAATTATTTATAATTGTCGAAAAATTTAAGAAACACTTTCGCAATGCATAGTTGCATAAATTATTTTTAAAAATTAAATTATTAAACATTTAAAATGTATACCAATCATGCAAATATTCCAAATATTAAGAGAAACATTAAATCTTCAAAAATATGTGATTAAATATCTAATTTACAAGAAACTGTGTTCCTGTAACGTGCAGCTGTAACTCTGGTATCAAGTATAAATTTAAATAATACTGTCTAATTTAGTTTGCCAGAATTCTTGGCGTTGTACCAATTGCAATCTACTATTAACAAAAATCGTATTTAATAATTAATTATGAGAGGCTCAATTATGAGTTGTCACGTACGTAGTTCGACTTCCACGAAATAA